AGAACCTGGGAAAACATTGGCAATAAATATTGTTATTACTATATAAGATGTTCAACTGAACTGAGAAAATTAAAATAACAAAAATGTATTTTTATCTATCAAATTAGTAATCAAAGCTTTAAAATTAACGATAGTACTCAGTTTATGAGACTATAGTATCATTTGCATTTGGAGACGGGGGTGAGGGCAGAATGCATTTTTAAAAAACTGATTGCCCAGCCCTAGCCGGTTTGGCTCAATGCATAGAGCATCGGCCTGTGGACTAAAGGGTCCCGGGTTCAGTTCCAGTCAAGGGCACATGCCTGGGTTGCGGGCTCGATCCCCAGTAAGGGGCATGCAGGAGGCAGCCAATCCATGATTCTCTCCCATCATTGATGTTCTTCTCTCTCTCCCTCTCCCTTCCTCTCTGAAATCAATAACTGATTGCCCAGCCAGCATGGCTCAGTGGTTGAGCGCGACCTATGAACCAGGAGGCCATGGCATCGCTGGTTAGGGCACATGCCCGAGTTGCGGGTTGGATCCTGCATGCCCCGGGTGTGGGGTGTGCAGGAGGCAGCTGATCAATGATTCTCATCATTAAATGTTTCTCTCTCTCTCTCTCCCTTCGTCTCTGAAATCAATCCTATATAATAAAACCCTAATATGCAAATAGACCAAATAGTGAATGGGTCGCTATGACACACACTGACCACCACAGGGCAGATGCTCAATGCAGGAGCTGCCCCCTGGTGGTCAGTGCCCTCCCACAGGGGGAGTGCCACTCAGCCAGAAGCCAGGCTCATGGCTCCCTCTCCTGCCTCTGAGGCAGCACTAAGGACCCCTCGGGGGATGTCCGACTGCCGGCTTAGGCCTGCTCCCCTTGCAGGCCAGGCTGAGGAACTCCCCCTCCAACCCCCAGTGAACAAATGTCATGCACCAGACCTCTAGTAAAAATATACTTAAAAAGTTTTCAAAATCAGTACTGAGAATAATGTCAACATTTAAAAAAATCTTTATGTTTAAATACAGTGTTAAGGCCTATTATTTCACTACAGGCCCAGTGGATGAAAATTCATGCATTGGAGGGGGTGTCCCTCAGCCCGGCCTGCCCCCTCTCACAGTCCAGGAGCCCTCAGGGGCAGGAGGTGACCTGGTGATCAGGGGAAGGCAACGCCCCATCACACCTCTGCTGCTGCCACTACAGGCAGCGCAAGCCTCGGCCAGCCCTGGTTACCTGAGCCTAGGGTGGCCCTGGGCAGCTGGGCAACCACCACCCGAGGCTTGCCTGTGCCTCGGGCCGGCCCTGGGCAGCTGGGGGACTTAAGGGACTTGGGGACTCCAGAGGCAGGCGCGCCGGCGGGGCCGTGTGGACTGGGTGCAGTTATCTTGTGGCTGTGGGCCCTGCCATTTTTGAGGGTGGGACAGTCAATTAGCATATTCCCTCCTTATTGGCTATGGGTGCTGCCATTTTTGAGGGCGGGCATCAATTAGCATATTCCCTCTTTATTTTTTTTGTTTTATATTCCCTCTTTATTAGATAGGATTATATTCTCAAAACAATCCTATTAGGTCATTTAACAGAGCAGAGTTGGATGTTAAATAACTTGTTCAAGTAGTGACACTGATTCTGAACTATACTACCTGTCTCAGATAGTTCCTTTTGAAATTAGTGGCCATTATTTTTTTTAAAATATATTTTATTGATTTTTTACAGAGAGGAAGGAAGAGAGATAGAGAGTTAGAAACATCGATCAACTGCCTCCTGCACATCTCCCACTAGGGATGTGTCCGCAACCAAGGTACATGCCCTTGACCAGAATCGAACCTGGGACCTTTCAGTCCGCAGGCCGACGCTCTATCCACTGAGCCAAACCGGTTTCGGCTAGTGGCCATTATTAATCATCTTAAGTTCTTTATTGAAGTTATCTGCATACCTATGGATTTATACTGTTTTAACATATAAAAAATGTATCATCATAATCCAAACTAGTCTGCAATGAGAAAAGTACAAAACTGAGAGAAAGCCTTCAAAAATTTTATAGCAATACGATCATTATAATTACTAAAGGAGTCATTGTATGTCTCTTCAATTTAATAGCACTGCATTTGGGCCTGTATTTTACACGTTTCCCCCCTCCCTTTATACTCTAAGTATTTCATTTTTACAAATATATTGGGTCTTCAATGAAATGGAAATTAAAAACAAAAGCTGGTCATTTACCAGATAGTTTGAGGAATATTGCCCTAGAGGTCTGGTGCAAACATAGCTTGTTCTCCCTTACCAGCTCTGTGACAAAAAGAAGACATGCTCAGGTAAATAACAATCCTCAGATAACTGATCTAAAATCCCACTTTAGCCATTGTTAATATCTGAACTTCATCATCAATCAGAGCACCTGCTAAGCTGGGTTTATACTAGGCAATGTTAAGTTGTAGGCTCTCAACACACACATGTAGTATTTCCATTTAGAGGCAAAGAAAACTGCTCATTAACAATTGAATCTAAAAAACACAATACAATATACAGATGAAGTATTATAGAATTGTATACCTGAAACCTATATAATTTTATTAACCGATGTCACCCAATACAATAAAAAAGAAAAAAAAGAAAAAAAGAAACAGCTCTGATTCTAGCATACTTCATTAATTTATCCAAGTTACATAATCTGAGTCCTCATCTATATCTCACTGAGTTTTTAAAAACAAAGTTAGGTAATGTATGCATTAAAAAAAAAATCAGCTCAATGTTGGTATGAGATACCAAAGGGAAACTGAAAAGAAGCAGCAGCAACTCAAGCCTCCCTTCCACCTGGCTGTGGCTTTAACTATGTCGCAAACTCACAAGGCCTGGTCTCACCTTCTTTCCCATTCACAGGCTATCTTCAAGGCCTACCTCACACCTCAGCGGTAACTTTTCCTTTCTACTTCAGGCCCTTCTCCTTTTCCCTCTCCTGGGAAAGCACTTCTAGGACCCGCAGTAAAACGGCCTCTTTTACTCAACTCCAGGTCATACTTATGAAATCCTGTTGCCCCCAATGTAGCAGTTTTTCTCCCTAAATCCTTGAGCTCTGTGCACGTTGTGCATTCTTTATGGCAACCTGAAGAACCCATCTCCATTTTCATTGAACAACGCTTTCATCAGTCTTCCTTTCCCCAGTTAGTTAACGTTTGTTCAGGTAATGACAATTAACCAAAATTTAAAAACATATTAACAAAAATTTCACTTCTAAGCAAACGGATCTGAAAACAACTTCAAATATCCATTCCAATGCTCTTCTTTAAAAGGAAGTGTGAGTTAAAAACCTAATTAAAGTTTTTTAAAGAATATTTTCTTTCTCCATTCTAACACGGGTATCCAAAACACTACCTCTCTTTAAAAAAAAAAACAAAAAAAACACAAAACTATGCTTGATATTCTCCAAAAAAGAAGTTATATTGATATTAATTCCTATGAACAAACAACATTCGCCATTTGCATTTCTTCAGAGCAATCCGGAACCTTCATTCCTTAAAACTTCTGAGAAACCAAAAGAATGTTAGTTGGTGCCTCTCTCCAGGAAAATGCACAGAGCTCCGGACTTCTGGCTGAGGTTCCAGGGAGCTGGGAGTGCTCCAGGACCTGCAGTGGATCCACCCACCCGGGTCCAGAACTCGGATGCTGACTATAAGGCTTGTTCCCATTGTTAAACGTTGTGCACCTTTTAAAACGATGGTCTTCCTTAATAAGACCTTTAGCCCTGGGATTAACCGAGGAAGCGGCTTTCCTTCACCACTCCCACTACTTCCCAGCGGCCAGCCGGCCAGCTGTCGAACAACTGCGAACTGCTTACCTCCGAGAAATTAACAGCCAAGGGAATGATTCCAGCCACGTAGCATCCCGCCAGCATAGCCAGAGACAGCAGGCTGATGGAGATGAAATCATCCATTCTGCCCTCCTGTACGCGCCCACCACCGCCGGACTACAGATTTTCAGCGGCTTACACCGGTTCTTACACGCGCGTCGTGATTCCAAGAGAAGGAGAGGGACTTTCCAGTTCTTCCGTCCTCCCTGCCGGCGGAGGTGTTCACGGAGCGCCTTTCTCCTGAGCGTACCTGGAAACAGCCCCTGTGGGCTGACAGTAGCATCAGAGAAAACTTTCAGCAATCTTAGGTCCCCAGCCTCTGAGTTTTCAGACTCCAGTCCCTGGATTCCGGTGCGTTAACAGAGATGGGAAAAGTCAATGGGGGAAAAAATACGCCAAGAAGCGATTCCTTCAATGGTCGGAATGAGAAGGGCACAATGGGCCCACTCTCTCCACAGACAACGTTGCAGGCGGCAGCAGGAAAAGGAGGAAAACGCAAGCGAACTTGTTCGTCCTCCCGGCACCCCTAGCTCTTTGGGGCACCCTGCTGGAACCGGTGATCCCCCCAGCTGGAACCAGCCCACCAGTCCCGGCAAACTCTCCTTCGAGTTTCGAATGAGGAAAGGAGTCCTGTACGTCTCTAACGACGAGACTGGAGTTCAGCAGCGAATCCGATACAAAGCTCCCTCCGCCCTATAGCCGGTGCTTCCCATATCACTCCTCTCCGCTGGGCTTTGACCCGGAGCCACAGATACTACCGCAGCCATGGCCGCCAAGTGGCACCTCTTCATTATATCCACTTCCGGATTGCCTCATCGCCCCCTCCTTTAAATGGGTTCTTCCGGGTAACAACTGACCTATGGCCCGGCATTCTTACACTGCCGCCATTTTTGAGCAACTATTTCCGCCCCCCCTTTTTTATTCTGTGCTCCGCCTTTTAAATAGTGACTTATGTCACTATTTACGTCTGTGATCACGTTATCCGTATGTCTAACAACGAGAGTAAGGCCTACAAGCGTTTTGAGGGGAAAAAAAATATTTTTCACGTTCCAGAAGATTCCCTGTGTAGCTCGTCGCCCTTATCCAAGATGGCTGAAACAGGGCCGGAACCCGCTCTAGTTTCCGGAAGTATGTGAGACTCTATGGTCCCATTGGCTCTTTCGCGCTGCGCCTCTGACGACTTCCGGCGGCTCCTCTCGCGGGGGTTGGCTGTTGGCGGCGTTGTGGTTAAGCTCGTGTGTGGCGGTGTGTCGGCGGCGGCTGCAGTGAGAGAGTTTGGCGCGATGGTAAGAAAAGTCTGAGCGGCTCCCCGAGCCCCCAGCCTCCGGGTGACTCCAGCCCCGTACACCTTTGACCCAGCCCGTCTAGCGCGAGCGTGCTGCTCCCCGGCCCTCCGCCTGGTGGGTCGACCCTTTCCCTTTCCCTTCCC